TAATCACTCATACCAGTATTATAGAATATTTAAAAAATGGTAAAGATACAGATAGAGATAGTGTAAGTAGTAAAATGTATATAACCAATCTGGTGTAGTGGCTAAGATGCTGGTTAGAAGCTAGGTTCTAGTTCTAGAAACTGAGACTAGACACTGAAACTGAGTTCTAGTCCTCCCTTAGGCATGAAAGCCAGCTTCGAGACTTTTAGCCAATCAGATTCTCTCAGCCCAACTCACTTAATAGGGTTGGGGTTTTTTTGTTTTTTGTTTTGTTTTTGTGGGGAAAACAGGAAGTAGAAGCATTTGACACACATGCTGTCTTGAGTTTATCAAAAATAAAGGCAGAATACAAATGAATTAATTAATATATTAAAATATGGATATGGTTTCTTTATGTATTGGGTGTGAAGCTTGTTAACATGTATGATGACTGCATTTTTGCCTTCTGATTGGAAAAATTCTATTATTTTCCCTGCATAGGAGACAGCAAGAGAAAAACTACACAGGTATTAGCTTGTTAGATGACCCTTGGAAATATTTGGCAGAGTTCTGATCAAAGGGATAAAGAACAAACTTTGGGAAGTGCAGTACAGCTTTATGTCAGGCAAAAGGTGTTAACATCAGAAAATTGTGCTTTAGCATGTCATTGGGAAACATAAATCTGAGAAATAAAGTTTATTGTACATTTGTTGGTTTAGCAAATGGTTCAGAAAGTACAAGGATATATCATGTTAGTTGTTTAATTGTTTAATAGACTTATGAATCAATATCCCAGGAATGCTGGTCCTGATATTAGAGATGAATTAGTTGTGGATTTAAATGTATATGTACTTTTTTGCATATATGATGCTGTTTTGTTGGCTGAGAATCCAAACGATTTGCAGTGAATGTTAGATATAAGAATGTAAGATATAAGAAGCATGGGTGTGAATATGGATACATTAGAAAAAGCATACTTCTTCCCCTTTTGTCACATGAAATTGAGAGAGGAGGAGGGAGGAGTAGGAAGAATGAAGTAGTAAAGTAAAAAATGTTAGTATCAGCTAGTTTAAACTATGTTTGTTATATTTTAAATTATTTCTTTGACTTCTTTGGCTTATTATTCCTCACTCCTGTGTTCTGGATAATGGTTCTGACTCCAAAATCATTAAAATGTAGTCCTCATTTAACAATGCTAATTGGAATCAGAAACTCTGACGTTACACAATTCTGTCATAAGTCACAAAGCATCAGTTGTCATCATTAAATGATAGTACAAGGATCCATTAAGTGAGGATTTCCTATTATCACAATTGCTGATGTCCTGCTGGCTTACCCATTGATTTTGTTTGTGGGAAGTCAGTAGGGAAGGTTGTAAATCATGATCATATGACAACCAGAAGTTGCAACAGCTGAAAGTACAAGGTCCAGTCAAAACAACCTCTCATTCTGTGTATGTTTGAATGGTTACTGCATGAGTGTTTATTACATGAGGACGACTTGTTGTATGATGGGTATACACACATCCAGAAAGTTAAAACTGCCTCATTTTTCCTCAGGTCCCTCTTCATTCCTCATATGTATATGTGAATTATTTCTACTGAATATTTGTTGGAATATTTTCCAGGCTAGGTTGATATGATTATGGTAAGGATTGAGGGTGTTGAGGTAAACACCCCTGATTCTGATACTGGAGAAAAACATTTCCTAAACAAAGGACATTTGGTAAAGAACTTCAATATTAGGGACAAAGAATTTAAGCCAGGGGTGTCCAACCTTGGCAACTTTAAGACTTGTGGACTTCAACTCCCAGAATTCCTCAGCCAGCAAAGCTGGGAGTTGAAGTCCACAAGTCTTAAAGTTGCCAAGGTTGGACACCCCTGATTTAAACCATGGGTCCGAAAGGGCGAGAGATAGAGAAGTTGCCTGTGTGCTGCTGTATGCTTAACTCAGAATCATAGTATCAGAGGACTGTAAGAGCCTTGGAGATTTTCTAGCCAACTCCCTGTAGGAATCCTCACACCATTTTGTCCAGTCTTTTCTTAAAAACTTCCAGTGATTGAATGCCAACAATTTCGGGAGACAGAGGCTGATCAGCTGCTTAACTGTTTTAACAATCAGGAAATTCCTCCTTAGTTCAAGTGTGAATTTCTCATTATAAAACTTCCTCCCGCTGATTGGGTGGGAGAATAAATTTACTCTTCCTTCCCTTTGTATTGGAAGCCTGCCATCATGTCTCTCCTAGCCTTCTCTTCTTTAAGCTAAACATACTAACTTCCTTCATAAGATTTAGCCTCCAAGTCTCCTACCATCTTTGTTGCTCTTCTCTATACTCCAGCTTCTTTGTATATAAGGTTTCCTAATTGAGAATTGCAGAGCTGGGCATGTTTTAGAGTTTTGCCAAGCAACTTTGACAATTACAGGTAGTCTTCAATTTACATCCACTTATTTAATGACCTCTCAAAGTTACAACGCCACTGAAAAAAGTGACTTAGGACCGTTTTCCACACTTAGGACCATTGCAGCATCCCCATGTCACATGATCTAAATTTGGATGCTTGGCAACTAGGTCATATTCACGATGGTTGCAGTGTTCTGGGGTCATGTGATCACCTTTATTGAGAGTTTTGCAGTGATAATTCAGCACCAGAAAAATAAACACAGACAGCTGATGCTTCATTTAACATCTTTATAAACATAAGTAGATTTTACAAACCAGTTGTAGATTTCTCCAACATGCAGCAAACTCAAGCAGAAACATGTTGCAAGTTCAGAACAGAGCTCCAGTCTTCAGCAAGCAAGCAAGTTAGTTTCATCTTCAATAGACAGACTCAAAGCTTAACATAGCTGCAGAGTTGCAGAGCTTAACATAAACCCTCATCTAGGCTACTTTTAGTTTCAGTTTCCAAAACAGTCCTCATTGGCTGACTTAGTTGCTATGCCTATTCATTGGCTGACCTTGTTACCAAGCTCTATTCTAGTTCATGAATATACTCTGACAATCTTTTGCGACCTTCTGACAAGCAAAGTCAGTGAGGAAGCCAAATTCACTTAACAGCCATGTTGCTAACTTAACAACAGCAGAGATTCACTTAATAACTGTGCCCAAAAAAATTCTAAAATGGGGCAAAACTCACTTAACAACTGTCTCACTTAGCAACATAAATTTTGGGCTCAATTGTGGCCTTAAGTCAAGGACTAACTGTACAATACAAAAATGGTAATGCTGATAAACAATATGGCAGGAGGAGATTAACCAGCCTCCTTCTTAACCTTCCCATCATAAGAAAGATTGAAACAAAAATGGAAAAGTAAATTTCAGCAATGAAATGGGAAGTGGATATATTGAAAATCTTGTAGTCAGTCTTGCAAATAGTTGTAGTGTGGAATGTGATGTCAAAATACTTTATATCATCAATGTCAGCTACAAGCCATCAACATTCCTAAGAGAATAATTAACTCCTAGACAATTTCTTCCCTGCCAAAGTTTTCCTGTAGGCTAACAGTCTGCTTAGCACTTTATCACACAATGGATTTGCACCTGGCAGATGGTTTATATTTCTTTGGTGCAAGATTATGAAAATCATTGTAAATCTTTTCCCCACTATAATTAGTACACTTAAAATAAAAATCACATCTGGTTAATATATCAAAGTTCATTTTAATTAAGAAAATGTGAATGACAACTAAAACAAATAGACATCTAGATCTTTCCCTTTCCCCTGACAAAAAAATTGCCATATTAACATACTCCTTGAAAGTGGGGGGAGTGACAAATTTGATTTTTTTTATTTGTAAGCAAACATATTGATTAGATAAAATGAAGTTTCCTCAAGGCATGCCTACATTTGGATGGAAAACATTTTTATGTTATAAAATAATTCAAAGCATTTTGAAATTTTCTTTCAATGCAATATTTAGCTTTAATTATACAATTTAACCTTTTATTACCATTTTAGAAATTATATGCAACATTAATATAAACTCTTTTTTCTTCTTATCTTCAAAGGTTGTCTTATCGAAACTATCATAGTGTTAACAATTTCTAGTTCATGTTGAATAAATACCACTGCGCCCAGTTAATATCTGTTCTGTAATGAAGTATTTACATTTAAAAATGAAATAAAATAGTTCCTCGAGGGAAAAAGTGCTTTCCAGAAAACATATTTTTCCAGTTCTTCAGTTGGTTATCCTTATATTCAAAATAAGTTATATAGTTATACGTTCTGTTATATCCTCCTTAGCATTTTAATTGTATCTTAGCTTTTATATTTTTGTCTATTAACTGGGAAAGTGTGAGCAGGGAATCTTTAAATCCAAAAATGCTAGGGGATTTCTGGAGGCTTGGCATTCAGGCAAAAGTGCCATCAATAGACACATAGAGGTAAACCACATTTATACATTATTCAAAAGAGACAATTAAAAAATAGAATCATAATTACCAAAACACATCCTCCCTAGCAGCCAACACCCAGATAAGCAGGGATTAACACCAGACACAATCAAGTAGAAAACAATATCCTAATCAAAGAACTAGCAAAGAGAAAACCATACCCCTCCACTCTGACAGAGCAAGCTGCTTTATATACACAAGAAGCAACCACCATGCTCACTACTAGCACCAATACTGTATATTACCTAGTCAGGTGATGAAATATCTGCAGACAAACAACCAAGTTTAGAGAGCACCAAGGATCCCATAACTAGATAAATACGATAACATAGGTTGAAGCAATCTTGAATCAGAACGTTTGGGTAATTGCAGATATGACCCCAAAATTCATAAATCTGCCCCCGGTACCCCATCTTCACATTTTTGAAAAAGCCTCAAATTAAAAATAATTGTTTCAAGACATGGAACTCTTTAACTCTTATTGTGGTGTGTTAAGGACAAATTTGAGTGTATTGCATAATTATGTTTTCCCTCCCTCCCAATCTTCCACTTTATAGCAACATTCTTCAGTTAGAAAGCATGGTTACTGGATATTTATTGATGATTAAATAGAAAAGATGATATCAGAGGTGGTTTCAGCCAGTTGAGACAGGTTCTGGAGAACCGGTAGTGGAAATTTTGAGTAGTTCAAAGACCCGGTAAATACCACCTATGATTGGCTCTTCCCCCATCTATTCACTGCCTCCCGAGTCCCAACTGATTGTAGTCCCAGCTGATGGGCTGGGTCTTCTTTTGTTGCCCTGCACAGAAGAACAGAGCTGGAAAGCAAGTTAGTGGGGTGGGGAGGAAATGGGGATTTTACAGTATCCTTTCCCTGGAGTGTGGTGGAAATGGAGATTTTGCAGTATATCCTTCCCCTGCCATGCCCACCAAGCCACACCATGCCCACCAAGCCATGCCCACAGAACTGGTAGTAAAAAAAAAAATGAATACCACCACTGAATGATATGTTTTTGAAGCTGATGCAAAAAGTCCAGTTTTGATTGAGTTGTGTCGTACAGGATTTCAAACAATGTATTTTAAACATGCACACCTTTTCTAAATTTAAAAAAAAGAAGTATTGACACTGTCTGAAATTAGAACAAGGAGTTCTATTTTGGCAGTAATATTTGTTAAACAAAGTCAAATATTTTCAAACCTCATGAATCCAAATAGAGGATACCCATATAGCCAATGGAAAAAGCACTCAATGGGATGTAAAGGTGTTAAATTTTTGATGTAGCAAGATTTACATGATCAGCTGGGCAAGGTTATTTAGGGAAAACATGAAAATGTGTTTTTCATCAGAAGGTGCTGAGATAGAATAGATAAATTAAATTTGTTTTATTGCCTGGAATAAAATAAAATGCCAACACCATTTTTCATTGGAATTTCATTAAAAAATAGCAGGATGTAAGACTATCCAACTACAATCCTACACTATACCGTATCAAAGCCATCCAAGCATAAAAATTAATAAAGCAGCAGTAGAATAGGAAGGGATAAAAGAAAGGTTTGCTCTCTTTCATTTATTCTCTCTTTGGGGGGGGGGGGGAATAAAAAACCAGACCTCTCCACTTATATGGAAAAAATAATTTAATTGTCCAGATGACAGATTACAGGTACTCCTCGATTTACAACCGTTCATTTAGTGACTGTTCAAAGTTACAAGAGCACTATAAAAAGTGATTTATAGCCATTTTTCACACTTCTGACCATTGTAGCATCTCCATGGTCACATAATCCAAATTCAGAAGCTTGGTAACTGGCTTATATTTATGATGGTTGCATTGTCCTGTGGTCATGCAACCTTCTGACAAGCAAAGCCAATGGGGAAGCCAGATTCACTTAACAACCATGTTACTAATTTAACAACTGCATTAATTCTGTGGCAAGGAAGGTTATAAAATGGGGCAAAACTCACTTAATGAATGTCTCACTTCGCAACATAAATTTGGGGCTTATTTGTGATCATAAGTCGAGGACTATCTGTATAATGTACAGGAGTTACTGAGCAAAAGGTGACACAGACATCCAGATGCACGCACCTATTTTTCTACCCTCTGCAGAAAATCACTTTGCACACACATTCCTTATTTCCCCATTTCCAGTCTAGAATGCAGCTCCTTTGTGAAAATTCTGAGACTCCACAGCACCAACCCTCCTTCCTTCCAAAGAGCAATTCAGAGCAGTACTTTAATTAGAAACGTATATCACCACTTTCTCTGTGAAGCCCTTTGTTGGTATGAGCTACAGATTTATTACTATTCTTCCTCAGTTAATAGAGACAAAAGAGGTGCTGAATTCTGCTTGTTAAAGAAATAAGGGTGCACAGATAAATAAGAAAGGGGAATGCAACCATCGTCACTCTATCGGGAGAAATGTTCCAATTAAGGAGCTCATCTTGAAGTATCATTGCAAGCTAAATACCAAGGTCTCAGCCAAAGGACATGCAAATTAATACCTGGCTTGCAGTTTTTAAAGTAGCTGTTTCGATACTATACTATAATCCTATGTAACATAATTATTCATTGGGGAGTTTCTACATACTTACACAGGAAGCAATATCAAATGCATTAAATAAATAATAATATAAGACAGGCACCAACAGAATGATCCTTGTAAAGTGATGGCACTGCACACATTTTTCTTCCAATCTACCCAATGTATCTGTTTTAAAAGGTTACATATGCTTTCTATTTAGTTTTTCTCTTCTATGGAATGAATATTCAGCAGCAGAATTCATAAAATCTCATCCAGGACAATTTTCCCCTTCCATCCATGCCTGGCTGATAGACGTTCATTCTTCTGCTTAAAATTTGACCCACGAAATAACATGCAGTTGCATTCACACCAGAGGTGGTATTCAGCAGTTTCTGACCAGTTCTGGAGAACCGGTAACAGACATTTTGGGCAGTTCAGAGAACTGGCAAATACCACCTTTGACTGGAGATTTTACAGTATCCTTCCCTGCCATGCCCACCCAGGCACACGCACAGAACTGGTAGTAAAAACAATTGAATCCCACCACTGATTCACATATGCTCTTCCTGCTCACTATCCATTCTGCACCTGATCATTTCCCTCTAATCAGTTTTCAAAGAATTTCATAGGATGGCCCAACTTTTTTTAAACAAAATTATATGATCATTGTGGCTAATATCAAATTTATGTTAACAGTATAAAAAGAAACGACATACATTTATAAAGCCTATAATAGCAGCTGGAGGCAAAACTCTATCAATATTAAAATAGCGATATCTCACAGGCTCCCACTAGCCTCCCAAACCTCTATGCCTTTTAAAGCCTCTATGCATCAAGGCTTTTAAAACTTTTTGAAAAGCCAGAAAGGTCTAGTATTATTACTATAACTTCATAAAGTAATTTAAAATGTGCCCTGACATTTGGCAGAGGAAAACAATGTATGTTCTGCTAAACAAACAAGGGATATTAGACAATGAACAAAGTAAATTTGTTTCCAAGCATGAGATATTACTTCCCAAAGTTTAGGATATTAGTCATTTCTTCTGCCCACATGATTTCTTCTGTTTAAGGAAGTGCTCTCAACCAACCAAGAACCCCACTGATATATGGGGAAAGATTTCCCCACTTTTCCTCTTATTACTTCCTCACTCAGTTTTGGAGGGTATCCTCAATCCATTTCTTAGAGTTTCAATAGATGTGAAGAAGAGGAAGAGGAGGAGGAGGAAGAAGAAGAAGAAAAAGAGGAGGAGGAGGAGGAGGAGGAGGAGGAGGAGGAGGAGGAGGAGGAGGAGGAGGAGGAGGAGGAGGAGACTTATTTCCTTTGTAAATTATTTTTCTCTTTTTAAAAAATGCAGAGAATAGATTAGGTTGAGTAGAAGCCCATTGGGAAAAATAGTTCGATAATTCTTTCCCTGGAGATCACTTGTCTTCCACTCATCCCAGAATTGCACCAACCTTACTGCTACATTACAAAATAAACTCTCAAAACATCACGGAGCACAATTATCTGTCAAAGACAGTTGCAATACATCAGAATAATATTCTCAGGTACTCAGCTTCAATGAGACACCAAGCTAGTTTGTGGTGATACACAAAGAAACCAAGCAGATTCTGCTGGGGGAACTTATGGAAGCCACTTTTTCAGAGTAAGGATTGTGTCTCTGTTAAAACACTGTTTATATACATTTTAGTCAGAAGTGAGTACCACTCAAATCAATGGAATTAACTCTCTGATAAACAGCGATTGTGCTATATTAAGCATAGAGTAATGGCTCTGGTTTTGGTACCGGCTTCCAAAATGGCTGGTTGTCTTGAAGTATTAATTTCTGAGGATTCTGCAGAATGAGATATTGGGCAAAGCTGCTCAAATGGGGGATAGGATGGGATTGCCAATTTTATGCAGCAGCTAAGGGGACAATCAGTGGAAATTTGGACCAGATTTAGAACCTGAGAGGGCCATCATTCCTGCAGAGTATATAATATAGCTTCCCAGATCATGTGCCAGATTCATATAACTTGCTCCTAGGAAATTAGAGTCACTGGCAGTAACATACTTGGAGGATGAGTAGAATCAAACATTGCCCATGATCATTGACTATTACTTTCTTGCCTATTTTAAGGATTGTCAACAGGGGTGAGATTCAAACTTCTTCAAACTTCGGTTCTGTGGTTGTGGACTAATTTGGGGTGTGGCTTGGTGGTCATGTAACTGGGTGGGTGTGGCTTGCTGACTGGGCATGGCTTGGTGGTCACCTGACTGGCCTGGCATAGCTTGTACATAAATATTGTATATATTTATGTAAATAATGGATTTTTTATTTAAAAAAGAGCAACTTTTACCCAAAATCAGGCAAAGCAGGGAGGCAGATTGAGTTGCTTGCAGAATCACAGATTCACTCACAGATCTACCTTTCTGAAATCTGCTGCCTGAATCTACCACATAAAATTGGCTTGCAAGCAATCATAAAATTCGCTTGCAAGTAAACTCACAAAATTAACTCACAACACACCATGTATGTCAATATTGGATTTTTTATTTAAAGAAGAGCAACTTTTACCCCCAAAGCAGGCAGGCAGATTGAGTTGTCTGCAGAATCACAGATTCACTCACCGATCTACCATTCTGCAATCTGCTGCCTGAGTCTGCACTGAAAAATAGTAGCTTAAGTCCTAAGAGAGCTCTGCTCTCAGGCCACTTCTCTCCCCCACCAACCCCCTGAATACCCCTGACTGGGCCTCAGGGAAGCCTCCTGGGTAATGGCAAAGCAGTACAACAGCTATTTAGATTAGCTAGAAAGCAAGAACTCCCACAATTTCCTGCTTTTTAGCTAATCTAAATCGTGCAGCACAGCTGAGAGTCAGAACAGCTGATCATCGGGGGGAAAGGGGAAATAGCAACTTACCAAAAATTAGGCGAAGGTACAAAGCAGGCAAGTTGGATGGCGCGCATGAGAGATAAAGAGTGACTGGGCAGGTGGAGCAGGTGGAGAGAGGCAGGGCCAGCCAGTGGCCCAATTTACCAGTTCTCCGAGCTGTGCAGAATTGTGACAACTGGTTCTATAGAACCTGTCCAAACAGGAAGAACCCCACCCCTGATTGTCAACCTTGCTGCTATTTTAGGTGCAGGGACAATAATTGAATTTATTGAATTGAATTTGAATAGCAAAGGGAAAAAATGAGATTCCTCTTTAAAGCAATTGAACTAGAAAAGCACACATTTTATTGAAATGTGTTGTGTATGTGCCCATAAAAATGCTAATTGGATGTGTGTCCCTAGATTCTGGCTCAAGAGAATAGCATCACCTTTGAAGACATTAACAAAGGGGAACAAAACACTCCACAAGCAAATATATTCACTTACTTGAGCAACATGTAGGAAGAAGAGAGGTGTTCAGGTTATAGAGAAGCAGGCTTTAAGAACCAATATTGTTGGAACTATTAAAAAGGGATACAGCAACACCCCCATTTGCTTTTTCAGTTAAAATGTCACCCCTGGTTTAATTTGTATTAAATTCAGTGCTACACAGAGGGTCAGTGTGCACATTTGAATCTAAACCACTTCCATTCAAATGCCATTTTTCTTTCTTTTGTAAGCAGGCAGGGAAATAAATGATATGGGAAGTGATAAAGTACAATCAGGTTAGCACACATAACAAACTTCATGCTAAGATTAGAAGCAAATTAAAGCCCACTAAACATGACAGAAAATATAGAATATATTATATATAAAAGCAGAGGGAACTTAGATTTATAGGGTACCTTATATCAGGGCTCAGAGCGAATTACATTTACACATTTTAAATGGTGGATTGTTTATTTTTCTAGGAGAAAACCAATAGCTTAGACTTTATCATGAATGTCTATTCTTTTTACAGCCCAGTTCTCTCTGCTTTCTTTCAGCCTTGAACTCTGAAAGCCCATAATTTTGGTTGTACTCCCCATTCAAACAATCCTAAAAAGGACAAATGGGATCAATCTAAATGCTTGCTATATATTTGATTGATAATTCTTGATTGATTGGTTGGTTGGTTGATTGATTGATTTACATGATGGCATACTTGCAAAGTGGCTCTGGACACCTAATTTTAAACACACACACACATACACATATAAAATATTAACTAAAAACAAGGATAAACATCCTGTGGCAAGGAGAAAATCAGCAGCAAAGTCTAGATTTTTGAAAAGATATAACAATAAAGGAGTCATGGATCCAGTTTGAGCTTCTTCGGTGACAGACCAAAATCTGTGATCATGCACAGTTTCGATCTGTGCTCACCACTGGAGTGCCCTCAGCTGGCTGGTTTCGGGGCTAAGCCACCCTGTAGAGGTGGTAAAGAGGGAGGAAACTGCCAGCAGGGTCGAGGAGTGTCACATCTCTCTTCCCTAGCTGGCCATTACTCCCTTTCCTGAAGGCGGTTGCAGTGGTGGACAGAAATGGCCACCTCAAAGAAGAACTCGGCCAGAAAAGAATGTGCAGGAGGAAGATAAGAAGAGAAAGTTTTGGCTAACCGGGTCAAACTGGAAAAACAACAATACAAGGTACCCTGGAATTTGAATTATAAAGAACAACATTGTTCCCAAAGAAGACTTTGAAGCGGTGAATGAGAGAGGGAAGGGAAAGGATTTGGGTGTTTTTTTTTCTTTTCTTCCCTATATTGACAACTAACAGATTTAAGCAAGAAACCGGCAAAAGTCCACTTTGACATTAACAGGTATTTAAGCTGGTAATAAAATGTCAAAGGGATAATAAAGGCTTCTGGATTCTCAAAAACTTTTAAAAGAAGGAAAAAAACAAAAGGGTGGGATCTGGAAAAATGGAGGAGACCACCTGGAAATGAAAGGAATTAACAGTGAAACTTTAACAAGATACCTAAAAGATACATTTTAACTGAAACTTTGTAACATGATAAGAGAACCCCAGGAAGAGAAAGTGGAAAAAAGAAGCAAGAAGAAACAGCTTTGGATTATTTGGATCACTTGGTGATTTTTGGATTTTTGGCTATTGGATCTAAAGGACTAAAATTAATCGGGTGGTTGTTTAAAAGTTTTTAAAATGGTATCACTCTTGGAAGAATTGAGAATGGAACTTAAAAACCAGAAAGAAGATGCACAAGAAGGAAGAGGTTCTTTTGGCTTCGTATTTCAATTTTTAGAAATGGAGATCCTGAACTATGAGAAACAACAAGAAATGCCTGTAGAACAAAAAGGGCGGGACAAAGAAGAAGCCATCTTCAATGACCAAGTATTTCTATGTGGGGAAAAGAAAGGGAAGGGGGGAAAGAGAGTAAAAAATTTAAGATCTGAAAAAACAACTAAAAAAAAGAATAGTTTGAAAAGTAATTACAACATTAGGAAGAAACAGAAGAGAGGATTACAGAAGAGAGAATCAGAATTAGAGAGAGAAGGGGTCAAAAAGGGAAGGGAGAAGAAGAGGGAGAAGAGGGAAAGGAAAAGAAATTATAAAGGACAGAACCAGGACATAGAGAAACAGGGAAAATGTACAAGACACAGAGATAATGGGTGAAAACTTAATTGAAAGGGGGATTCTGCAAGGGTGCATAAAATAATATTGTTATATTAGAAATAGAAATGAAGTTTGAAAATATGAAACAATGTGATTAAAATGATAGATAAAATACTCATTGCAATGTAATGGAATGTTTAATAAATAAATGAAATAAAGAGAATGAGAGAATGAAATTAGGAAAGGAGGGGAACATTTTAATTATTATAAATGTGTTATAAAAATTTAAGTGAAGAGGAATATGAAAGAAACATGAAAAAAATATGGAAATATTATAAGTGTTCCTAGAAGTATGATATCCTATTGGAAAGGAATGTTAAAGATGTCAAAGATTATAACTAACATTAATGATAGAGCTGAACTTTAATAGAATAAGTATTTTATTTATTATTGTTATATATATATATTCTCTTTAAGAATTTAGTGCGTATTTTAAGAATGTACCAAGCAGAATTCGACTGGAAGTTATGTGTTATATTGAATGTTATAATTGTAAAGGTATAAATTTAAATTTAAATAAGAGTTGAATGGATAAAAATTAAAAGATACAATGGTGTCATACTCTAATTAGTAACTACAGGGGAAAATTTTGTTTAATGAGAAAAGAAAATATGAAATTGAAATAGGACAGACAAAAGTATAAATATGATGACTAGAAAGGTATTGAAACTTAGAAAAAGATATATATAATTGAATTTAGAAAGGAATCAGATAATTAAAAGTAAGATTGAGAAAACTAAGGGCAAGGAAAAATCATTGAGAAAATGTTAAAATAGTAATAAGATATGGAATAGAACACAAAGATGAATATGAAATAGAATTTGTGTCTGTATGGAGAAGTGATAACTTGGGACCATCTATTCTCAAAAAAAAAGAAATTTTACTTGCATTATGTTTTGTGAAAACCCATATAAAATTTTTATATATAAAAAAAACAATAAAGGAATCATAGGGACTATAGTATAATTCTTGGCTTTCCCTACAAGATCCCACTGAAAATTAGCCTCCACACAATATACATATCACAATGATAATTGATCAAGTCAGTGTTCATTTTAGTGACACATTTCTTCAGGACGTTCTAAATACCATTCTCACTTGCCACTCAGACCATCCATTCAGTCATCTGAAAAACCTTTTACTGCAAAAAAAAAAAAAAAAGTACAGACAACCATTACTTGGAACCATTACTTTCCCCTCATTCTTTCACACAGGACAAAAAGAGAAATTGCTGGGGAAGTGTCAACTAACTTTTTGCTGCCATCTTCTGGTCATCTGATTGTTTTCAACTCAAACACAACTGGATTTTCCAACTCAAACATGGAAGCACACCCCATACACTTAGGTTTGTTGAAGTCATAGGGAAGGAGTAGACAGCAAGGAAGAAATCCTACAGGTCCCAAGTTAGCTTTCTTTCTGGTGTTCACTACATGAAGTCACCAGGAATAAAGAAGTACTGAAATATCTAGCAGGCCTGTCAAACTGGTGGCCCACGGGCCAGATACATCACACATAGGACACGCCCACCCCAACTCCGCAAAGGCAAAAAACATCATGGTGTATCATGATACGTCACGTGAACCAATCCAGTTTGACACCTGTGATCTAGAGGGTGGAGGAAAAAAAGCCCCACGGGGAAGAAGGCTTGGATATTTCAGAAATAGATACCGTATTTTTCGGACTATAAGACACACTTTTCCACTCCAAAAAAGTGGATAGAAATGTCTGGGCGTCTTATAGAGTGAATATTGCCCCGCTCACCTGTCAGCTCCCACCCTTTGGCCCCTGCCTCCCAGCAATTTGCCTCCTTGCAGCAAACAGCAAATAGCCTGGTCAGCTTCAGCACAGCCTGATTTAGCACAAGCCGCTGACTGGCGGTTGGATCTGTCTCCTGGAATACCACCATTCAGCTATTCCAGGCTTCAGGAATCGCGGCGCTCATTGGTGCCAGTGCCACCCATCACCACTGCCACGTATCGCCACCTCCATGTACGCCATTTTCAGCCTCCACATGCCTCATTTTTGGCCCCTGCACTTTCTGTTTTCAGCCTGTTCCAGGTGGCAGGGATAGGTGGCGGCACCTGGAATGGGCTGAAAATGGAACATGTGGAGGCCAAAAATGGGGTGCACATAGACCAAAATTGGGGGGTGTTGAGACAGCTGTGATGACCAGTGATTTGCCGATGGATGGCAGCGATCCCCGTAGCCTGAAACAACTGATTGGTAGTATTCTAGGAGTTAGATCCAACCACCAATCAGCTGCTCATGCTAAATCAGGCCGTGCTGAAGCTTACCAGGCTGTTTGCTGCTTGCTGCAAGGAGGCAAATTGCTGGGAGGCAGAGGCAGATTTTTTGTTTTCCTCCCCAAAAGCTAGGTGCATCTGATAGTCCAGAGCAGGCCTTGACAGCTTTAAGACTTGTGGGCTTCAATTCCCAGAATTCCTCCTCCAGTCATGTTAGCTCAGGAATTCTGGGAGTCGAAGTCCACAAGTCTTAAACTTGCCAAGTTTAAGACCTTGGTCCAGAGCATCTTATAGTCCGAAAAATATAGTATATAGTAAGATTAGAATAGATACATACAGTAGTAGTAAGAACTATTTTTATGAACCTACCTAACTTTGGTAAAAGTATAGTCAGATTAATAGGAGCTTTGCTTAGATTCTGGCTAATGTTCACGCAAGAAATTCTTTAGCCAGGCATCCTGCTTTGATATACATCTTGCTAATATCTCATTATCACAAGTAATCTATGAGATAGAAGAACAGACTCTGGATTCTTTTTCTTATGAACCAATTTTCCTGATTAGCATTCAACCCTGACAAATTTAGCTTAGCTCCTGCTGCTCACCCTCTGGAAAATGTCATATTCCTACAGCACCCAGTTTTTCAGTATCATCATGAAGAAATGACTGGAAAGAGAAATCCTCATATTTTATAGCTCTAAGCAATCTCTGGCACCACATAATGTTCAACTGAAAGTATCAAGTGACTTCTGCCAGTTGTATATGTCAAACTCTGCTTGGACAGTTGGCTAACAAACAGTATCTTTTATCTACAAGTCATTGTCAAATTCAAGCTGCTCTGAGAAAAACAACATATGGCCAGATTTATTTTGTCTTTGTAATGGAGGATGTTTATGAACCCTTATATTAAGTTGGGGGTTTGGCCCATCTAGTCCAGTGCTATCTGGAGTGGTTTAAAAATTAGTGCCATGATTTGTACTATGTACACCTTGCAAATTTTGTTCGTGTGGAGAGGAACTAGCATAGCTTGTAAATGAACCTTCAATGGAAAGATTGAATACCCTGTGAGAACAAAAGAAATTGGAAAATTAAGCACACAAAGACATGCTCCACAATCAGGTATTAGTTCTCTATCTGATCACTTGTTTTTTTCATACCATTTTACGTTTTGAAACAAAAACTCCAAACCATGAGAAATTTCAGCTGAGAAAATATGAGTGGAGTATTTGGCCACTTCAAATCAAAAAGTAAAAAAAAAAATCATCCCTGCTGTGTAAATATAACCAATAAACTATTGAAATATATAAAGCAAACATAAAGGCTACCAATGCTTGCAAAAATAGCAAAAATAAATCAGACAACTTCCCCAGCACAGAATATACTGTCAACTGTAAGAACAAAGTCAGTGAGCATCTTAAAGAATAATAAATGTATTATGGATGAATTTCATGGACTACAGCCTACTTCACCATGCAGTTATATGGCCAGTTATGAATGTATATGTGTGTGCATGTACATACACTTAAACGCATACTGAAGGCAAAGTTTAAGTAGTAAATCGTGGACAATGAAATTAAATATAGGTAATTGTGTTCTGCATTTCACCTTTCTTTGATTCCATTTGCATCTCAACAAAATGCTTCAGTGTACTGCAACCATGAAAGCTTATGCCATCCTAAATATATTCATCTGTTTAAAATTTCAGAAGACATTCTTCTGATTTTAATGCAGTGAACTGACTCAGGTATCCCCTCTGGAAATTGTCAGATCTAACAAGATCACATTCATTCAGCACTAACCGGTAAGCAGTATTAACCAATTTGTTCAGAATTGTCCTATTTCAAGAGTAGTTTTGATCCACTTTCCTGAGAGAAATTATTACACTGTAAACTAAGATAAATATTATAAAAGTTCGAAATAGGTCACAACAAAGTAAGCAAAATTCTGGTGAAGAGTAACAACCACCAAACCCTTAAAATAGCTACTACAATATAGGCCACAGCTCTTCTAATACATAACACTGGAGAAAAACCTGCAAAGGAAAGAATAAACACATACAAAGATCTAACTTTAAGGAGAGAGACACACTTATAGAGAAATTGAAGAATGGATTTATCGTATTATTAGAAATACTTTCAGAAACAGGTTCCCATACTTGGAAACAAAGGAGAATATATATACCATCATACGGTGACTTGGAATAGGTCGTTTTTCTCTCTTCCTTCAGTGCCTCACATTCCTCAAAACTGAGTTGTGGCATATAAGGAACAAATAAGCTGCCACATATACTGTACATATTTCATACCTATAGATTCCCTAAGACATCTTTGGATCCAATTTAGGATGATAAACAATTCAGATTGCCACATAGCCAGGTAAATACTTGACAACCAGAGATGTTCTTTCCAGGATTAGATATTTTGAGCAAACAGCAAAATAATTGGCAAGGAGAGAACCATCCTTGTGCTCTTGCTTTTCCACAGAAATCTATTGTATCTTTCAATATTAGTTCAACATACATAAAATTATTGAGAGAAATGGGGTTGATACTGATATTGGCATTCCTCTGAGCTGCAATATTTTTTAGATATATCTCATCTGCCTTGCTAACATCTCTATGACCTATTAAATGGATGTAAAGAGATGTCTATCTATATCTCTTCTGTATGTCTACACTTTTTTTCTGGTTTTCAGCCAAGGGTACTAAAGTAATGAATGACTATCATGGCTGATCATGAGTAAAGGGTTAATTTCCCACCAACCCCCCACCTTATCAGGAAAGTAATGGGATAATGACATTGCAAGAGTTTGTGGTGGTTGGATGGAAGAAAGAGAGGTACAGGAGCAGCTTAGGTAATTTTTTAATGGTTACCAATGAGGGAAATAATGATGTTGTATTATCCATGATAGAAACTATGCTTGTTCTCCAAATCTATATTGGCTTTTATTATCTTTTGGGATAAGAAGAATATTTCTTGGTATAAGGTAGTCCTCAACTTACAACCACAATTGAGTCCAAAATTTCCATTGCTAAGCAAGACAGTTGAGTTTTGCCCCATTTTATAACTTTTGCCATAGTTGTTAAGAGAATCACTGCAGTTGTTAAGTGAATCATGCAGACATTAAGTGAATCTGACGTTGCCCATTGACTTTGCTTGTCAGAAGCTAGCTGGAAAGATTACACAAATAATGATCATATGACCCCAGGATAGTGCAACTGCAATAAATATATACCAGTTGCCAAGCTCCCAAATATTGATCACGTAACCATGAAGGTCATAAGTATGAAAAACACACAAGTCAGATTTTTTTTTGAACTTTGAACAGTCACTAAACAAATGATTATTAGTTGACAACTACTTGTATTGACTCACAATGCTTATACAGGACTGGTCATTTACCAGCCATATATACCATATACTAGCAGAGACAAAAAGCAGAAAGGAAAAAGAAAAGAGATTACCTTTTTCCCCAGGATGGAGAGATACCCAAATCAACCTATCTGAGAAGGCATGGGTGAATGGCATAGGAAAAAGGAGTATCAGACTTACAACTTTTACAAGGTGTGCTGTAATGTTTGGTTCCCAAAAAATTAAAAAAAACCATAAAGAGCCACTTGCAAGCTCCTTTGTTATTAGTGAAAAGATCTGCTCATTCACCAGTTCACAGAAAGGCAGCTAAATCTAAAATAAAAAAATTCATAACCCTACTGTACTTTGGAGATGTATCAGTTTTAGATGAGAAAAAGTTCCATTAGCTTGAATGTTTGTAAAGTCATACCTTTCTTTTCAATAAATGCTGCTAAGTAAAGACTGGGAGAATTGTGCTTAGAAAAGAATGACATTCACTTGCAGGTAGAAGCCAAAAAGTGAGGCATAAGCAGAACATATTTATCCAGTTTTTAAATTTATAGGTGTGTTGATGTTTTATCATTTTGCTTTTACTACTACTTCAGTTGATTCTGGCTTGTAATCAAAGAACTGCCATATCTGGACTGGGAAGATCCAAATGTTTACCAGCAGACAGCAAAGAGCCACTGAAAGCTTTCATTGTTGCCATTTTTAGAAGTTTCCCACTGAAGTTGAATTTCAATAAAACAGTAGTTCAGGGACAAAACAATTCTTAAGTTAACTTGGGGCATCAGACATACATACCATCTACCCTAAATCAGGAAAAAAATGGATGAACAGAATGCTAAACACTATATAGTTATAGAAATATTGGCTGAAAAAGTATCCTGATGAGACAAGTTAAAATTCCATTTTGCCTTTCCCATTGTTGAATCAAATTTGTCCCCCCCGCATCCCTCTGTCTCCCTCCCTCCCTCTCTCTCTCTCTCTCTCTCTCTCTCTCTCTCTCAAATTCCAAAGAAGGGAAAAATTATTTTAATTAACAGAGTTGA